AGTCAGCCGATTTCACCATAGTCTATAAAATTCACTCCAGCTTACTCAAAAGGAGTATTTACTAGACAGAAAATGAGAGGAATCCCATAAAGTTTGACAGGCTGAGTAGAAGTTCAATAAACTTTGATGTCTTCACTGGGACAGAGAATTGTGTAAACCCGAACGGCTCCAAATCTTAATACAGGTAAGCACGTGTCCTTACTGAGACACAAAGTGCTGAGATTATTGGGTTCCAATCACTCTACTGTAGATCTTCATTAAAAGGTCACCTTCTTGCTCAAAATGGAGTGGGGCAAACAAAAACACTGGAAAGCCTGTGTGAAATGAGTCAACAGCCCAACTGTTTTGGATTACTGTCTATGTAACAGTTCTAGATAAAATCAGGATTTCTGCTCAGAGATCACATGCCCTCTGAAAGTGAGGAGAGTCTACTCCTGAAGACTGCTTCCTTTGGGCACCAACACTGGCCATCACCTCAGTGGTCTCTTCTGTTCTTTTGATAGGATCCCATTTGGATTGAATTACTTTCTTTTAGTCTGATGCTGTATTTTTCTTGACTTCGGTTGGGGTCTAAAAAGGATCAGGCCTGGAAAAGTAAGATTTTTTCTATTTCTGTCCTCCCTGAGGAGTTTATACTAAAGACATATCACCATTAACAGAGATTGGGAATTAATCCCAAAGGCAGTATTAAAGCAGTGCTAGTTGTTCAACTAGCATCAGTAAATTAATGTGCCATGTTAAAGAAGTCCTATTACGTTGATTTTTCAACTTGATCTTTGATTTCCTCCCTTTCTTAAAAATCAAATTACCCATTCATATTTTCCCACTGCTGATGTGAGACAGTATCTCGAATCCCCTTTGTTCTTCTTAATCATATTTCTTCTATTAGATATTGTGGTGAACTTTCAGCTCCAGAGTCTTTGAAGCTGTTTTCTGACATTTTGGGAGCCTATCCATAGACAGATGGAAAGATGACCAAACAACTCTTAGATCCTTCTATTACTCAGTAATTATTTTTCTTATCTATTTTCCTGGGCAGTTCCTACTTTAAACAAGAAACCTTGCAAAGAAGGATTTTAAATTGACTGCCATGGTGACAAGGCAGACAGGTCTACAGAAATACTCAATCTATACCCTACTGAAAGCGTTAAAAAAAGGCACTTAAAGAATGACTTTGGGAGAAGAAATAGAAACATTCTACATTTTATGACAGTCAGCCATATTAGCCTTCTTCATTTTGATGAGGGAAGGCTTCCTTTCCCCTAGCTCCCATGCAGGCTGAGAATTACAAAAGGAAAATTTACTGTTGTGGAATAAATATAATCTAATTATGCAGTATGAAAGTATTTTTGTGTAGTCAAACATGTCTTCGTAATAAAAATAAAGAAAACACTCAGTAGCTAGTGTGTGAGGATATATAAAATACTCTAATAGAGCCAAAGCAGTGGTTTGGAAATAATTTCTCTCTCCTGTTCTTGTGAAGTACCTCTGTATATTCAAGGTGCCCGAGAGTAAATTACAGTAGATTCAGGAACACAATCTATTCTCCCTATATTTGTTTACTTTGAAATTAATCTCAGATATAACAAAAAAAACCCTGTCAAACTGCTTATAATATACGGATTTATCGAGATAATTGGATTATATATACATTACATTCCAACCATAATGTGTGTCTGTCAAGCAACTAAAGAAGAGCCATACTAACACAATCCACGTAATATACCGCTTATTGGCAGAAAACAAAGATATCCTGGTTGGAGACATCATCAGGGAAAAGCTGTGACAGCACAGTTGTAAAAAGGTAAGTAATAACCTCAAGGGAACACTGAGTGAGAAAATTGTCTAGGAAGAAGGCAGTGTTCCCTGAATTATAAGAATGAGGAAAAAAGATTTATCATCAAACAACAAAGAAAAACTTTCAGCTTTTGGAAGGAAGTCAGATTTTGCTGTGAATAAAAAACTCAGACCACAGTTAGCTCACTTCAGTATTTGTTTGTCAGAGTTAACATTAGAAAATGACTGAGGAGGAGGAGAGACAGGAGGTCAGGCAGTGTGGGCGTCAAGAAGGATGGAAAGATAAAAGAACCTGCAGCAGTAAAAGAGGCAATGAGTGTCTGATGAGGCTGCCACGTCCTTTCAAATAAAAAAAGAATAGCAAGATTTTAAAACGTCATTTTCAAAAGACACTTGCCTCCCTTATAATTCAGAAGGCAGCAGACTTAAAAAGAGTGATTTCTAAAATTTCTGAAATAGATGAAGTCTTGACCTCAATAATAAGACTCTACCCTTGTCACTTGCCATAGAATTCTGCATAATACGAGGCAAATCACCTAAATTAAAGCTCTTACAGGTGGCCACAAATTGGATGCTTTTCATTTTCTAATCTTGATTTGGGAGCCTGGGATCTGGTTTGCAGAAATACTGAGTTTTTACAGCTGTGGCTCATTAAAGACTTATTAAAGTTATTTAAGGTCAAGTACAGCCAACTTTGGCTACTCTCCATTGCCTGGAACAGAACCACCTGAGACAGACAGACAGACTCAACTTCTGACAGGAATGTTTAATCCTCATTATAAAGTTGAGAAATTGAACCTCAAAGATGGAAGTAAAATTTGTCTAGGCATTTTTTGTGCTTTTGTGCTCTACTACATCTCAGCTAATAAACTCTCCTGGATTCAGAAGTGGCATGTTGCCTCCTTTCTAACTACATTTTGGACCAATGTCTGCCTCTAAATTGTACTCTTTTGGCACCAGAACTGTTATTTCTGTCTCTGTATTTATTTTCCCAGCCCATGGTGGTTGTTCTTATAAATTCTGCAACCAGCTCTGGGAAGGGCAGCCCTGACCTATGCGAAGTAGGCACAGCCTAACTCCACCCAGAGCTTCTGCACTGCATTCCTCAAAAATTAAAAAAGGATCAGATATGTGTAAGTGTTCACAAGGTATAACAATGAGTATTACAGAGAAGAAGAAGTAAGTGTTTTCAGAGTAGGACTGAGCAGTATGCCAAAAGTAAGGTATAAGGCCACATGTCAAGCAGTAAAGAAAAAAAATATATAATTTTTTGTGTGAGTACCATTCATTTGTCAGAATAAACGAGGTAGCACTTCTAGGGAAAAAGTGTTTTTCAATGTAATTATAGTACTCATACATAACCATGGGAGCAATTTAAAGTTACAATTCTGGTTTGGAGATGGCAAAAGTGATTAATTACTTTCTGAAGGTGCCTATCCCAGGTACCAAAAAAGCAACTGAAATTAGATTTTTAATTTTTCAATAGCTAAAAATATATATACTTGATGATACTGAAAGAAAAGGGAGTTAAGGGTAGAAATTCAATCTCAAGTCTAAAATTTCCTTAATTCTGCATGCTTGACTTTTCCAACTTAACCCATTTTAGACAGGTTTTTATTTTTATGTACTACATATTTGACCCTTTTAACCTATTCGTATAATAAAAATTGAGGTGTTTCCATAAACCCTGCTTTTTTTTTTTTAATAATGCAATATTAAGACAGCAACCCAACACATGCAGAAGAAATTAGAAAAAGTTTTATGAGCAACCTTAAAGTTTTGAACTTAACTTCCCATATTGCAAACATTATTATGTCGCACTTCATCTTCTTCTGCTAATTTCAGGGAAAAGCTGTATTTAGTGACACAAGCAATTATATGATGCCAGATTTTCCCAGTGTTGTCTATTCCACGTATTGTTTTTCCAAACAACATAGGTAAATCACAGAATCACAGATCTTCTTATTACCACAAACAAATTTTTCACAAAGATTTTTTTTTTCTCCACATCCGTAGGAAACTGTAAAAAAATCTGTGCTATAAAGATTTTTTCTAAAAAAAGAGGAAAAGTCAGAATGAAATATCTTATTTCCAGTCTAGGTGAAGATCAGCCCCATATTTTACTATAGTATTGATTAAATAAATAAGAAAATACCCAAAAGTCAATTTTTGTTAGTTAAGAAAATACCATGTAATATCTAGCATATTCTCAAATTTTGTAACCTTTTTTGTATCTGACACTTTTAGTAACCTCATTTTATATTTGAGAGCTTATAGACCATAGTTTAGAAAAATCTTTAACAGAGTTTTATCAGACTTTATTCAGCACAGTGGCAGATTACGCAGTGTTTTGCTTTCTGTCTACTCTATTTTATGTTCTGACAAATTCAATACAGGAATAAAAGGATCCAATTTTGACTAAAGCAAAGGCTCCATAGCTAACATTTCCCTATCCAAAGAAACAGGGACAAAATGAAGAAATAGATGTAATAGAATCTCACAATGTAATGGTGGTTGAGCATACAATCAAGCCTGCAATTCAACAGGACACGTAAGCGTATACTTACCTGTGATTTTATGAGCCATCCCAGTGACAGGAGGCTATACTGTACCTCAAGTTAATCTTGTGTCTAATTATGTGCTGAATCAAAAACATGATGTATATTCAATCACCAGTGTAAAATATTAATCATAAGTATTTTCCAAAGGCTGGGTAAAAAGGGTCTCTAAATCCGAGCATCAAGTCCCAGTGACCTCTTAATCCAGAAAGCGTGTGAGATTCTAGGGGTAGTTCTGCCCTATATTTTAGGTCTGGCCCTATACCCAGATGTTCTGGGAAAAGATAGAAGAATACAAAGCAAGCTGGTGAATCATCAGTGACCCAAATCAGCTGCAAGTGGTAATGCTCCTCTTAAAGTCTTGTCTGCTCTCCTGCTCTCTCACTGGCCCTCCCCCCCTCTCTCACCTACTCATCCCCTAACTCAGACTGCAGCCCAATATCATAATTTGAAATCTCTCTGTCACAGTTAAGATTGGTATTTCTCATAATTCCTAACATTTTTCTTTCCCCAATTTATCTTAGTGTATTTTGGTGGACTACTTTTAATCTGTTAAATCCATTTTACACTTACTGACACTAACTACAATTATACGTATTGCACTGAAAGAACAGCCCCACGCCGTGCCTGCACAGGCCAACTCACCCTGGCTGTGTGTCGTCAGTCACGCAATGGTACGTAAAAGTCCCAAACATCTGCACTCCTAGGATCCCATACAGGAGGAGAAAGAACAGAAGGAAAATTGAAACGCTCCAGATTTGCTCTCCGGAACGCCTGGCAAAAAGATAAATATGGCACTGAACGCACAGGCAATGTGAAGACTCCTCTGAAAAGCTCCAGAATAGAAAAAATGTTCACACAGAGAAAGTAGTATTTCATCCTGCACAAAATTTGTCCTTAAAACTGAGCTCTCACTCTGGGCAGAGACAGAAAAGGGAGCCATGATTTTTTCTAAACCTCTAAGTTAAGGTAATTAAATCAGCTGTAAACTACAAAAAGGTGCAACAAAAAGTCCCCAAATAAAAAGTATAAAGTCTAGCCTTTGTGAAATAGTATCTAATGACTTATACAGACAAGATACGATGATGAAGTAAAGTTGATACCCAAGACTAAAAAACTCTTTCATGTTACCATTACACGGCTTTTGCCATTACATGCTGTACCAAACATACTTATCTGTGTTTGCTTGCATGCAAGCGTACCCGTACGTACACCAACACATGTACACTTGTAACCACAATGGTTAGGGCATGCGCTCATGTAGTTCTATTTACGAGTATCACCCTACTAAAAGAGTTCACTTTCATTATTAAGTGCCTATATTAATGTAACAGAATTTACTGCCACTGGTTCAAAATTGCTGGCTACAGTTATTAGCAAATGTTTAAGTTTTATTTAAATATTTGACAGTTTTGATAATATTCTAGGAAACTTGATGATTCCTTAAATATGGAAAATAGCAAGAATTTTTTGGCCAGAACTAAAACTCGGGAAGAAAATGCCCACTAAGCATGCAGAGTCATTCTCTGAGTTGCATAGTCAGTCTTCTAAGTCAAAACTGAAATCTTCTCTGTTGTTCTTCAGATAACAGCCTTACTTACTTCAAGATATTTGTTATCCTAGTTCTTGGCAGCTCAAAACGAAAATATATCCGGAATGCTCGGATCATAATGAGTGGTCGTGGAATCCGTAACATGCCCCAAGGTGACATCTGGTCAACTATTTCAGCAATTTCAAACACCTACAAACAAAAGAATTAGGAGTTTTTCTTGATGACCCTGTCCTATTCCTGTATCCATTTACAGAACTTTTAAAACTATGAACACGATACATGATTTTTATTTTCATTTTCAGTCTTCTCTGGGTTTATTTTATAGCTCATTTTAACCATGTTTTTTAAAAGAAATGTCTTAGTAAATCCTTTACTCCATTTCTAAGTTATCCTAATGAAATTCCAAAAATATACTCTGCCTATGTTCATAATGCTTCTGTCTCAGACAACTCACAAAGACTGTGCAAGCTTCTGTCAGCTGCCTGCTTCTGTGCTAGTCCTAACCCACAAGTTTCCCACAACTACATTAATATTGGATAATTTACATTTCCAAATATGAAAATCAGTATCTGTTAATGTTGCACACCACTAAGGTTTTTACTATGACATAAAAGTACATACACACAGATTGCCTTATGAGTTGCCAACATGCTTATAAATTCTCCATTTAATTCCAAGTGCATGAGAAAACTGTACATGTTCTTCTCCTAGACCGCACTTACGACACAAATTTCAGCCAAGCCACAGAACCATTTTCTTAATACACTGACAGGTTAGGCACTCCATAAAGACTGTTTAGCTTAGTGATTGAGTGAAAATGTCTTATTTTAATTCTTGTCTCTCACTCTCCGAGAGTAACTGCTTAATTTAATATTTGCTCAAAATACTATAAAAAATGAGGGGGAACCTGGCAACGCATAAACTGGATAATCTACAGTACTTATCTGTAATGATCAACCTTCACTCTACATGTGTACGTGATGTACCAAAGTTTCCCCTGTGTATAAAGCAGAAAATTACAATGTGTCTTAAATTGGTCAGAATTGGGTAAGCTATGCCTAACGGCAATCACTATAGGACTTTTACAATCTTTAGAGTATTGCAAGCCCAGTTTCACAGTCTTCAATCTGTTCTTACCCAAAAATCTGGTTATGGTTAAGGACCAATTGGTTTGCAGGACACAATTTGACCAGTACCTTAACACTCTATGTTTTTTTGCAGCATGTCCTAGTTCCCTTCTTTATGAAAATTTATCAAATTGTTTCCAAATGTATTTATTATTTTTTTTTCTGTTGTGCTTTAATTTGAATTTTGGAAAAGGTTTTGTTAGGTGTGGGCGTGAAACCCCTCCACTCACCATATGAATACTCCTACAGCATGGTAAACATCTACCACCAGAATCATTCTCCCTTCAGTTGCCTAAGCTAGTCACTGTGGCATCCTACTAGATTCAGTGGAAGGAGGTGAGCACAATTGCCATATCGAGTAAGAGATAAACAGCTCTCTGAAAACTTTTTCTTTCCTTTTAACTATGCAGAGGGTTTATGGTAACAAGCTTCAGATTAATGTGTAACTTCTCAATAAGAAAAATTAAACAAAATAAATTCTACTACTAATGCAGATATACTGCAATGTGCAGTTACGGAGCTATTGAATTCAGCACACTTTTTTAAAAACAGTTTGACCCATTTACTTCCACAACTCATAATTACTTGGTTGTGCCATACATTTTTCACAATTGAGGAACTATTAATTGAAAAAGGTAACTGAAATAATTACCTGTAAAACCAGTGACACCCAAAGACAAAAGACCATGAATCCATCAAACACACACCAACGATCCTTTACATAGGAGCTATCACCCTACAAGAGAGAGAAAAGCTAAGAGGTAAATTGTTGCTTTACTGTCAGAATTTACAAATATCATAAACAAAAGTTCTTGGAAGAAGGAAAAGTCTTCTCTGTACCACTTTCAAAATGACCCTTTTGAAAGACTCCAAAAGCCTAGTATCTGAGCTTGAATATGCTGGAAACACATTTTCTGGGTGAAAAAATGTTACCTTCATTTTTCTGTAGTACTCTCCTCAGCTTGTGTCAAAAAGAACTTACAAAGAGACCTAATATTTACACTTTGATGCAAATCAAAATACACACAAAAAAAGAACACTGAACTCACTTTTCCACTGTATCGCCCATTACAAAATATTTGCACAGGAAGGTAAGTGTAAAATGCTAGAAAACTAATATTGTGTTGTTCAATTATGTAAATATTGTTCAACAGCTTCAATTAAATCAGTATCATTTTACATTATTATTTTCATCAGTTTTCAATCATTTGTCATGTTCTAAAAAAGTCTTGCCATTTGCAAAACACAAGACAGTAACCACTGTCTCATCAGAGTCTAGGCTTTCAAGTTTCTTTAGACATTTCCTGAGCAGCTCTTCACCACTTCAAAATGACAATTAATTCTTTAGACTTCATTAATAATAGGTACGGTGAAATTTTCAAATTTGATATCATTGGCACTTCATTAATTGTGTAGCACAAGAATTCAGAGCATACCTTTGCACTACTGAATAAAAAAACTCGGGAAAGAAAACTGAGCACTGGATCCTTGTTGAGCCACATAGTTTCCTACCTGTTCTCTGGCTCTGCTTTAGACCTCTTCAATTAGGTCTCGAAAATAACACCTAAGCATAGTTTTGGTCATAGTCCAATCCAGAGAGTACTCCTAAAGGAGAGCATGGAGAAGACTGCATCCAAGCTCAGTTTCCTCCACACCACACTATTCTCAACCACTACTCCAACTTGCATGCTTAGATATCCTCATGTCTCACAATGACTTGCAACACAGGCCCTCCACTGCAAACTATAAAAACACCTCTATGGTGGCCTACTAATGCCTCACACTTTACTTCAACCACTGAACTGAAAAAAAACTCTACATTTACTAGGTAGATTGCAGCTGAGAGTTAGCTAGCTTCATGTACCCCATGGATTGTACAGGAAGTTGGGGACCAAATGCATACAGATAGATGCAGCTTGTTGAAAGAGGGACTAGACCAGACTAGACATAAGGAAAGTGGATATCCCAGTTTCATGTCATGTAGCAGTAAAAACATATGCTGAGACACTGGCAATGTATCTCAAGATACAGAAATACCCCTTTCCAAATGAGATTTCTCCTAACAGATTAAACATATCCTTCCCTGCCTTACACATTATCTGGCTCCTTTTCTCTCTTTAGTGTTCTTCCAGATACAAACTAAAGTGTTTGACATCCAGTTTTCACAGGTATAATTGGGGAAAAAAGTTATTGTCAGGTCTCAGGAATCTTGAAGACATGACTGGACTTTGGCCTTTTACATCATTCCTGGCTTGATACACATTGTTTCTTATCTCAGTCACAGTTATTTCAGTCTACCTGTACTTGTTTTTAAATGTCTTAGCATTTTCATTGATTCCAAAAGCACAGGCAAGATGTTTTGTTTTAATCTAGTATTTTCAATGACGTACACTACCCTAAAAATGATCTGTCCTTTCTTGCAGTAAGTGACAGCAAGATATATTGTGTAAGGAGAGACAAAATATGCTTTTTTTTTTTTTTTTACGTTTTATTTCAGTTGTAAAATTCTTCAAGGAAGATTACTTACTTACTACAAGGAAGATACTACGAAGTAAGGATATAAGGAAAATAGTGTAAGTGATTTTCAAATCAGAAATGAAGGACAGAGAACTTCAACACTGCTTTCAGACGGAGGATTTTCTAACATGTAAGGATGTTACAGTTCTCAACCCAAGAATTAAGAGGAGAAAGACTGCAAATCAGGGAAGCAACAGAACAGGAACTTTTGCATCATAATTTTAACCTGTCCTTGCTGAAGAAAGTAGAGTTAACTCCCTTAGTCTGAGCTATTCAGAGCTCTTCACTCAGAGCTGAAGAAACTCATCTGTTTCAGTGGTTATGTTCAGTAACCATGAGGCAGATACATGTTATTTCTCTGCAGAGATCAACTACCAACACCCTAAATCCCTTACCCCTCTCTCATCACTCCCTGCTCCCTCTTAGTGAACAAACCTCCAGTGAGATTTCTATCAACATGCAACTTCAATTGTGTCCTTCAATGGAGACTCTGAACAAAGATGCCGATTGGTCTTTCTCTCACTGAAGAACTCTTTGAAACTTACTTTTCTTCTCTTAAGCACCCTTTGTCTAAAGCAAAAATTTTTCCCCGAGTTGTGCTGTACAGATCTGAGTACCAACTCGAGTTCCTGTATTCACCCTCCTCTGAATAACTCGTCAAGTACTCACTCACAAAGCCAAATCTTTTTTTAGAAATTGCTTTTTCTCTCCACAATACGTGTGGCATGATTGAAGCAGCTCTGCTGTTTTTTCCTTACAAAGGAAGGTGTCGTGACCCTTTCCAGCCTTCTCACCATTCAGGCTGCTCCACCACCTCCCTTCTCTCATTGTCACATCAGGCCAGCTTCCCTCCACTACAGCCTCCCTGTCAGGGACGCTCTCACTGGACCACCCACAGAAACTTAGGGCACCTGAATTACCTCTGTAAAAACTACTCATTTTAGGGAAGGTTCTGGCCTTTTCCACTTTGCATGTAAGGAGTGAAAGGGTTAAACACCTGACAATCACTGGCTAAGACCTTAGACATGTAACTTTTGCCTGACAAGATTAAACTGACCTTGAGCAAGCTCGTTAGGCTTCCTGATAACAGGAACTCAGAAAGGGCTGAGATAAGAACCAAAGAACTAGTTTAAACTGACCCCCTTGTACCATTCTGAGGCCGAAAGACTGAGGAGCTAATACAGTGACTATATATGGACAGAGGAAGCCTAAGTTCAATTAGCGGGCAGTGTGAGGAAGACTATGGACGACCACCTGAGGGTGAAAAGACCCTAACTCTAATTTTACTGTGCATGCTTGGACTACGTAAATGCATTCCGGGAACTCATCACCGTAAGACTGCCCTTTCCAGGAAATCTGATATATATGTATGATTTTTCCATATATGAACTGATGTGCTTTACTAACCTGTTGAAGCACTCATGCTGGAGCGATCCCCAGTGCTGCCCACAGCTGCAATAAAGAATGCCTGCCTTCTAAAACTTCAAATTAAGTGTTAGAGGGTTTTCTTGCTGACTTTTCGGTATCAGGAGGCTTTGGTGAAATAGTTTTCGTATTTGTCATTTGGCTGTCAGTGGACGCGGTGGGGAATCTTTAATCCGTTTATACTGTGTATTGGCATATGGGATGTTACTTGGTGTTGGAAGCATTTTTAAGGCAGGACCACATCCTGCTTAATGTGAAAATCAGAATATACTTTTTAGTATGAAACTTGGTATTGACTTCTAGTACTACTTCCATGAAAAACCTAATTCTGACTAAACACAGGCTAGCACTCACATATTAATAGCAATAAACAGTGAGTTTCATTCACATGTGAAAAAAGCCTTGGGTTGAAATTCCACACTCATGATCAATGGCAGCCTGTTCTTAAGACTTAGAAAGGAATACAGATACATGAAATTTAAATATATCTGGTGACATCTTACCTAAAGTAGCTGAAGTATAGCAATGTGTTAATCCCTCACCCTTTTTCATCATGGCTGCTGGAATTTGAGAATTATTGATGAGGTTTGTTTTAGCATTTTTTTGTGAACGCACTGTCCCAGACCATTTACATTATGGTTTATAATTCTTTGAAACGTGACCTAAAAATTTGAAAAGATGAAGGATTAGTACTGTAGACTAGAAGCGTCATGATGAGACTAATCCAAACCTCTTTAAAGTCATTAAAGTTGCTGACTCCCTACTGCCTACAGTGGACAGTGGATTCTTTAATGTGCACAGCAAGTCCTGAAAGCCTCTCCAGCAACATGACTCACAATCTACCTAGACAACAAAATCATTTGCTTCTGACAGAGCAGTGGATGCCAGTCCACTTACACAGTCCATGACTTGGGACAGCCTTTGGAAGGCTTTTGTGCAGTAAACCATGCCCTCGCTTAATGCCTCTCCCAGGCAAACAAAGGGCTGCTGCTTGACCTCAGTGGCCTAGCTAACTAACTAACAACTATTAAACCCAAAGCTTTTCAAGATACATGAACAATCTTAAGCCCAAAGCAGCAATACTGCTTAGCTGTTAGATGGCTCAATCTTTTCATTCTTAACTAGAGGCCTGTTCATTATTTTGTAATACCCTTCCTAGTCTCCCCAAACAGTTTCTCCAAGGGTGCTTCCATCTTTTCCCGCAGTTCAGCATCACTGTTAGGCTAGTACACAACCATGGAAACAGCTTTCTTGGTAAACCACGCATGTGGAATGGATCGAAAGTCTGCCTCTCTCTTAGAGATGCTAATCTGAATTAATAAAATCTGACATCCTAAAAGAACAGACAAGCTTAACATAACACTCTGTAATTAAAATATTCTCTGCTCTATAAGCACTTAATTTTTTATGGCAATGTTGCCATAACTAAGGAAGAATATCTCAAGTTCAGCATAAGATCTTAGTGTTTCTTTACTTATTCGATAATAGGACCAACAAATAAATCTCCTTCCTTCTCCCTATATTCTCCTTATTTCACCAGTTTTTGTCTAATTTTAGCACCATTACATTAACTGAGTACAATGTATTAGCTCATTTCTTTAATTTTTATTTTCATGTGTAATACTAATACCCCAAAAACAGCACTGAGATGCCAGAAGATACACTTTCTCAATTATAACCAAGTATTAGGTGCCCTCAATGGTTATTACACAAGTTCACAGAAAAAAATCCCAATTTTTTAAGACCTAACTGATTGGAAATGTGAGCCAATACAAAATACAGACAGAACCACTG